CTGCTAAGTATTAAATGTGTTTCATGTAAGACCATAACTGAGACAAGAACTAAAGTTTCCATGACTTTTTATACCATTGGAAGTCTTAATAAGAGCAGAAGAAAGAGATAAGGATTTACCAAACTGAAAGGGCGTTATATTGTCCTTGCTTTCTGAGCATGTGATCTACACATAGAAAAACCTAAAGGTTCTATCAGAAAGCTGTGGGAATTGATCTTAGTAAAGGTTCAGGATACAAAGATCAACATTTTAAAGTATCATATTTATATGTCCGTCATGGACTCCCTAGAAAAAAAAAAAGAACAATTCCTTTCATAAAAACTACAACTATCTTGGTAAAAGACTTAACCAAGAAAAGAAAAGATCCCTACAAAGAAAATCCTCAAATGCTCCTGAAAGAAATTGTAAAGAACACATGAAAATCAAAGAAAATCCATGTTCATAGATCAGAAAAAAAAACACTGTTAAATTGAGCAAGATTCTTATATGATTTACATTTGTCATTGCTGTTACTAAATATCTGGAAGGAAGCACCTTGATGATATAAGGACTTATTTTGCCTCATGGTTTAAGTCACATTACAGTCATATTCTTAGATATTAATCCTCTTTAAGATAAATAAATTGAAAATTATTTTCTACCATTCTTTAGGTTGTTTTAGTTCTGTTTATCACTTCTTTTGTTGTACAAAAGCTTCTCACCGTCATAATCTCATCTTCTGTTCGTGTATCTGTTCAAGTCCATGTCTTCGGGGTCTTATCTAAAAAATTTCTCCCTGTATCAACAGTTTGAAGTGTTTCCCCTTTGTTTTCCTATAGTAACTGCAGTTTCATATATACTAGTTCACTAACCACCTCTATGACTTTGAAAATAATTTCTGAATGATACAATCTGCAAATATAAAAGAAAGCTATGGGTAAATATTTTACCAGGATAAAATGTTGTGTTTTGATTTGGTTTTTATTACATTGGAAACGGAGGGGTGTAAATAAATTTTCCATCATTTGAAAATACCAGAACTTCTCTCAACAACTGAAAATTTACCCTATAATAGAGTTTGCAGCTCTTTGAAATTAATTTTGATGAAACAGGACTTTGGAGCCAACCACCAAAAGACAGTAGCCTAGTCATGTCAGACATTTCTGTTTGGAGGGTTGGACATCTTACTGATATGCAGAAGTAGTCAATGAATACCTAAAGTGTGAAATTTGGTATCATCTACTGCTGATTTAGTTCCAGAGGATAAGGTTATTAATAGCCATATAATTTCATGGCCCTTTAAAAATCCATTAATCATATCAGATTCTATGAGTTCCTAAGGCCAAATTACATATATTAATGATCCATAGCATGAAACAGGGGAGGTTTACCTTATTTGTCTCAGAATTATTGTCCTTTGATTCTTAATACATGTCCTTTTGTTCACGAATGAAAGGACAAGTTGAAGGAAGATGAGCTCTCTGTGGTTATGCCGAGTCACTGTTCTGGTCTTTAGCTTTGTTAGTTTCTAAGCTGAAGGAGGCTGCTTTATGTCTCGAAGGTTGCCTTTGAAGGATCTTTTCCTCAGAGGAACATCCTGCCTTCCTTTTATTACAGCAGTTGGCCAGAAAATCCCAGTCGATCTGTGACTGTTGGGAACTGCTAGACTGCAATGCCATTTCCAACACTACAACTCTTCCACTAAACAATTTTTCTAGGAATGATGCCATTCTAGCTGCTTGGCTTTGCCAAAAGGCAGTACTCCTGCAATAGCCCCAGCGCTGGGAATGATACCAAATGATGCTCCAGGCAGAGGACAGGCAGTAAATCAGCAGGAAAAGCAGAAAAATGCCTGAGCTTTTGATACCTTTTGTGTTTTTCCAGTCCACTGGCCTATCTCTCTCACCTTCTGCTTCTGTTTATGAGAAAAACCCATCCCCCCTCCTTTGTGGTCCAGTAGTAGTGTTTTCAATTGGCAGGGTCTTCATCCATCACAAGAGAGAAAATTCACACCTTTTGAAGCTAATGTGATCAGATTTCTGTGTGATTTGTGAAAAGGTAGTGTTTCCCCTGCATCTCTTATAGATCAGGGGTGTGTGCAGAGTGGAGAAGTGTCAGACAGGAGAGAGGGAGCCAGGAGAGAGGCTCAAAGGAGCAGCAGAAGGTATCTTTCACAGCCTTTCACTCTGGATGAAGACTGTCTTCTGGTTCCAGACTTGCTGGAAGCTGTCGTTTTAGCCAGCAAGCATGACTGTGCTACTTGTATTTGCTGCATAGAAATCATTGTTGTAGAATATTATTTTAACTAGTCAAAGATGTTTTACATTTGTTTATGCTGCAGAATATTACTTTAACTCTGTGTAGGTGTGTTACATTTGTTTCTGCTGCCTTTGCGAATGATGTAACCCTTTGTTTATAATGCATTTGTTTAATGACATGAGAATGTACACTTGTTTGTGCTGCCTTTCTTGAATCATGGAAAGCTGTGTTGCATTTGTTTCACCTTGCTGTCCTAAGGCACCGGATTAATATAATAAAAAGTCGAATGGCCAGTAGCTAGGCAGGAGAGGGATATGTGGGGCTGGCAAGTAGAATAATTAGGAGAAGAAATCTAGACCCCAAAGAGGAGACGAACAAGAGAAGAAGAGAATATGGGAGAAGAAGATGGACACACCCAGGGCCCAGAAGCCAGGTAGCCGCCAGCCAGACATAAAGACAGCAGGAAAGTAAGATATACAGAAAGGAAGAAAGAAGAAAGGAAGAAATAAAGGAAGGAAGGAAGGAAGGAAGGAAGGAAGGGAGGGAGGGAGGGAGGGAGGCAGAGAGAGAGAGAGAGAGAGAGAGAGAGAGAGAGAGAGAGAGAGAGAGAGAGAGAAGAGAGAGAGAGAAAGCCCTGAGGCAAAACACAGATGCCGAGAAACAGGTTAAAGTATAAGAGCAAGTACAAAACAAGTCTAAGCAAAGGCTGAGCATTTAAAACTAATAATAAGTCTCTTTGTCATGATTTTGGAGCTAGCTGGTGTCCCCCTAAAGAAACCTGGTATAGATCATAGCTATGAGGTACATCTTGGATACAGATATTTAAAGGCACCTGCTTCTACTTAGCACACCTCTGAACAAACATAGTCTTTTACTTTCTTGGTTTGCCATATGTCCTCTTTCCTTCCCTCCATTTTCCCCTCCTTCCATCTCTCCTTCCCTCTCTCTCTTTCTCTAAGCATTTTTCCTTCCTTTTTTCTTTCTGAAAGTTTGGTTTTCTGGGTAAATTGAGTTACTATATGCTTACTTAATTACAGTTTCCAGTTGGCCACAGGCAATTATAAATGTTCCAATCTATATGAAGTTTTATGTGGTATCCAAGACACAGAAGTGTGTGTGTGTGTGTGTGTGTGTGTGTGTGTGTGTGTGTGTAAGCAGAACACTTATAAAAGATTGACACTTTATCTTTTTATTTGAGGTAATGTTTCTTAGTATCACCTAATAGAGTTTAGGACATTTCTCTTAGAAATATGTAATCTTTTTTAATTCAGTTTAATTGTTTAGTAACACAGAGCAAACTGGAAAATCATACCTCTCTTCTTTCCCTCACCTTTCTTCAAATCTGTGTACCTATTATCTATCTATCTATCTATCTATCTATCTATCTATCTATCTATCTATCATCTATCTATCTATCTATCTATCTATCATTTATCTACCATCTATTTACTTGTAATCTGCCTGTCCATGTAATGTATCGAGCAAACAAATAACCAATGAAAGGCAAGCTGAATCTTTAAAAGTTCTCTGTTACTCTTACCAAAATAGAGTTCTCAGGTTTTTTTGCCCAGGAAATGCCACCTCAGAAGGTGGTAAGTTTGAGACCAACTTGGCTTTGTGTTTCTCTTGGGGCTCCTAAATCTAAGAAATGGTTTCCTACAGGCTCAGTATTTTCCTTGTTGGAATTTATTTCAGTTTTCTTTGTTTCTACTTTAGAAAACATGCCGCATGAATAATGACGCCTCCGGCAGAAGAATCACTCTAGTGGCACAGTTTAAACCTAGGACACATCCTGCCCTCACTTGCATTTGTATTGTGCCAGCACAGGCAGTAGGAATTGTGCCCACACACCAACTGGCAGCATTGAGGCCTCAAGGTTATCAATTATGAACATGGAAAAGCTCATTTATTCATTCCAAGACATTTGAGGCAAGTGCTTCTGAGGCAGACTCTGGAGCCCCCTTACTTCTTGTTGATCCCTATAGTGGCATCCGACTTGGAGGGTAGCACACAGCAATAAATGTCCTCATTGTTTAGTGCACTAGAGAACAAAACAGGACTGTAAGATCAATCTCACAGCCTCAGCAGAGTAAAAGTTAGAAGTCAGTAATTCCATTACCATCAAAGAGCACTCCACGCAACAGGATTTTCTAAAGTAATATTGAGTGAACATTTGGGTAATATCACCAGTGTGTTTATGGAAAATGAAGGAGTGTGCACATCACTTAGAATGCCAATGTCTGTAACTTCCCTACAGTGCATCTCTGAAACAAACATTTTGCTTGTCGGTAAAGAGAGATAGACAAAACGTCAGGAATGGACTTTTGCACAGGGAGTGAGCAGAGACAGCTTTATTCCGTCACACTGAATTAATAGAGAGTAAATAAGAAAATGTCACTGGCCGATTTGGTGAAGTACAGATGGTAGCGGTGCACAAATTGTACATTAGATATCAGTAGAAGAGCTTTAGATTTATGCCTGCACTCATTGATTTGACAGCTACTGGAGATGCCTCTTTTGTAAATTAAATTGAGAGTTCCATCAACCCCCACCACCCAATGAGGAAGTAAAACCAGCAAGACATTTTTTAAAAGAGGTACAGGGCACCACACCCTCCACCACGCAGCAAAGGGTAAAACAGACTGGAAGCCTGTGTGTGGAATCTGAACGCGGAAGGGTGGGAGACGGAGCAGAGGGGAGGGGTTTCTTTTTGGTTTCTAGCTGGCATCAAACCCCGCAGCGATCCTGCCTCTTTTGGCTTAGAGATGTTGAAAACGACAAGCAAAGTTTTGTCTTTGTTCCCTGCTTTTCATAAAACCAAAATCTAAAGCCTGTAACTCCCTCTTGTCCCAAGGGAGAGTGTGTAAAAGGGAGGGAAAAGAAGCTGTGTGGGTGAGGGGTGGCAGAGCAGATCCGGGGGACAGCGGAGGAGAGGAGCAAGCCAGTCTCTCGTAGGAGGGCGTGGATACCGGTGCAAGCTCGAACAGGTCCGGCCTTCTGGAGACCTGTGCCAACAGCAGGAGGGGACAGACGGAATCTCTGTGGGCAGACCCGGGTGAGGATCTGCGGAGAACGTCCAACTAGAAACTCCCGTGGATCCACCCAGAGGCTCTGGACCTTGTTGGTCCCCTTTGCCTCTGTGAGCCCGCTTAAGGAGTTTTCCCAAGGGAAGGTACCCGACAGACCGGGCGTCAGAGGAGGCTCAGGTGAGTAAATCTGCGCGTGCCTTGCTAGGAATGGGGCTCTCTCAATCTGTCCTTTCGTCAACTCATTGAGCGGGGTGGAGGAAAATCAAGGGCTTGCTCCTGGGAAAAGAGCAACTCTTATGAAAGGGAAATGGTGCACAATCCTGGACTCTATCCTTGCCCAAAATGGGAGTGGCTCAAGGTCCCTTCCCTAACCTGAGAAGAGGCACCGCCTTTCCTAGCACCTCCGACGCTGGTGGTTAGGGCTGGATTTTCCACAGCTCCAGGTCACTGGATGTAGGAAACATCTTCCAGGACCCCCACACCCTTAAGCTCTCAACCTTCCGTAGGCTGACTGTTTCTTCCTACATAGCCACCGTCCCCTTCCTTACCCTCTGGAGAGGATGCATACCCTCCTGTAGATTGTAGCCATCTGGGAGGCGAAAGCGGGGGGTGGGGGGCGAGAGGGGGGAGAGTTCTACACGTCTCTCCAATGTCCACCTCTAGCTCTTGGAGGTCCTGGTTCTCTCACCCTGGCCCTAAAGCCCCTATCTAGCCGCTAATCTCTAGAGATAATTCTTGGTTGCAGTGGCGTTCCCTAAATGCCTCCAGCCTGGGATGAGCGATCTGTGAACCGCCGGCTTAGGAAAAGATAGAGGCATAGAGCACTTCACCTCAACAGAACGCAGTGGGGGCGAGAGGGCAAGCCGGGAATGGGGGGCGCTGGTTGCCATGGCTCCCTGGTAACCGAGCTGGGGGAGCTGGGGATGCCAGTCATGGACAAACAGTCCCTTTTTCCTCTTTGTGTCTCCCCTTGTCCTCTTTCTCTGTCTCTGTCTTTCTCTCTCTTTTCCTCCCTTGAGTGAAAGTGTACATGGGGAGGGAGCAGGGAGCAAGTGATTAATTTGGAGAGCTGGGATTGGAGCCGAGAGGCTAGGGGGAAAAAACGTCGTTTTCTCCATCCCCACTCCCTTTGGCTGCTAAGAACCTCACTTTCTCAGCCAGGGGAAAGGCTGAGGAATTCCTCCGAAAAATCTGGGGCGGGAGGAGCGGCAGCATCATGGTCCAGGTACTGGAGCCCAAAACCCTGAGAGGGAGCTGGGCGGGTGGTCTGAGGTATGGCGGAGAGGGTGGGCGAGACTACAGATTAGCCACCAAGCACTAGCAGGTGTGCGTGGCACTTTGCACATGGGGCGAGGAGGTAGCCCCTAACTCAGCCTAGGGAGAAAGGCGATCAATACCGCCCCGCTGGCCAGAACTGCGAAGAGTCTGCTAGTGGCAGCCAGCTGAAGGTGTGTGCACAAAAGCACGCTCCCGATGAAAGGCTAGGGGAAGGGGGAGATAGCGCGTGCGCGAAGGTGTAGGCGCAGAGCTAGGTAACTCTTGCAGGTACTTCAAGGTAGTCTCCTGGAGTGTCTACCTGGTTTGGAATTTTAGCTCAACCTCCTATGGGATGTGTGAATCAGAGTCATTTACTCCATGCCTCAGTTTCCCTCTTTAAATAATAGGTATCATGCCATTTTGAGTGGGAAGACTGGACTGAAATTGTCCAAGACGGGCAGTTTAACTGCCTTCTCTGATGAAAAACATTCAGAAGTCAACTGTTCTAGACGGTATTACTGGTACAATTAATCCTCAAATTAATGCGATATGGTAGATTATTATTTCTTGGCACTTTTATGGAGGGCAGAATTCTGTGTTTTTTTTTTTAATTTTAGAAAAGAATATTTATAAAATGTATTAATAACCAGTTCAATTCGTACATCTTGTTTATAGCAGACTGAAAGAGAAAAACTGAGCAATTGTTAGATTGACGGAGTCCAGTGTTGGACAGAGGGCAGAAATCGGTCCCTGGAAAAAACTGGTGACAAGAAAATCCAATTTCTTCCACAATTTTCCATCTAGGATTTGAGCTCTTCTCTCACTTGCTTGTGCTGTTGCTAGACTTGTGTTCATTTTAGTCTCTTTGTGATGCACCTATCTATGGCTTTGACAATTTAATTTGGCTATAGAGTCTAATATATCCCTGAATCTCCCATCTCAGGGTCTTCAGTGCTCCAGTGGATTCACCTCTCCTAAGGCAAAGTGTCCTGCTGTCATCCTTTGAATGCTCCAGAGTAACTGATATCTAATACATAGAGATAGATGGTGTTACTAGGTGGTTGCAGGTCCTGGCTGTAGCAGCTGACTAGAATCTTTTTTAGGAAATGCTTCTATCATAGAAGCATAGGACTATGAAGATAAACACATGTTTTGCGTTTAAGCTTACAGAACTCTTCCTTCCTTGCTAGTACCTCATGGCTGTATCAGTTTTATTTATCTGGCATTGTACAAGCCGAGTTCACATCATCCAAAATGCATGGTATCTTTGTGTTAATGCCCTCCCTCCAGTTAGGCAACATGCTTTAAATCAACTTTGAGAAAACATTTCCTTACTAAAATATGTGTATACTTTGGTAGATTTTAAACAACTGAGCCAGGTAGATACCAGTATCTCAAACATCTTTATGCATTTCCTATTGAAATATATTCCACTGAGAAATACGTTATCTGTAAAGAAACCTGCCCTTTCTATTTATTTCTAAAATATTTGGAGATAGGAGATAAGGCAAACCTAAAATTGCTTTGTTGAAATCACTTAGCCTGGTTCCTTTTTCTGAGGAAATAAGGTAGAGCTGACCTATTAGTTTTAATCGGTAAAGGGAAATAAAGTAACAGAGAGGAATTCATATCTGATAGGAAGGGATGATTCCCCAGCCCCCCAAAAAATAATGCTACGAGCATCATCCATTCCAAGAGTGGAGTAGTGCTCCACAGTAAGCATTGCAGCACTCACCTCCACCGTCTGTGTCATCTTTAAAAGGGACCTGGAGGAATTAGTGTGACAGCTTGTCTGAAATCCACGTGATCATTTACATATTGTCTCCCAGGAGCTCTGGCACTAAAGGTTCTATTTATTGGAAATGATTTTGCCCCTTGATTGATGACAGCCAACACTATGATAGGATGTCATCTGCTCTGGAAACACAAATCTTTTCACCATTTTCTCTTTTCCTTTACAAATCTGAGCAGCCGTGCACTTGGAAAAAATGCTTATGACACCAGACAAAGGGCAGCAGCAGAAAATGTGACAGATTGGAAGGTGTTGAGCCCTGAATTTGGGGTACTAATTAACGTGTCCAGGTGTAATCAAGAGGATGAACATGTCTTTCTACAGAGCCTGTTTGCAGTGGCAAGCTACATTTTCTGATTCAATCAGTGTTCCATGCTATTTTTCAAACCAACTCTGAGAATACTGTATTTTCAATTATGAACATTTTGATTACAGCTCCATCCTAAGTAATTCAGTCTGAAGAGAATGCAATTATTATGGTGATTTACATACAATATGCTAAGTTAACACAGCTAATGAGTGAAAGCATAATATTCTTTCTCCTCATTCCTAGAAAATATTGTGCTAAGCATTCTTTGAAAGAAAAGATTACCTTCTTCGCCAGCACTTGGAGCCTATCTACAAGTAGACTTGGCCCTGAGCCATGTTCTCTGCTATTAAAGGGAAATCGCTCACATTTTGGAGATCACGTGTCTTTCCTTCCCCTTGGGAGGAACTGGAAACAATTCTCAATTTAATTAGATAGGGCGCTTCCTCTCTTCTGTATATATTTCTTAAAAAGGAAGAGCCTGCATTTCCTAATTCGGGGGGCTGGTTTGCACTTTAAACATTACTAATTGCTACAGTTTATTGTATGTGTGTTGCAATCTTGTGGTAAGTTAATTATAGCTTTCTCATTAGCACCATGTAGAGAATAATGAATTAACACATGCCTTTGATCAAAAGAACATCTACGTTTATCTTTGGAGAATGAAAGTGTTACTGTGTTACCAAAAGTCACTATAATTTTCCCACGAAAATCAAATTGAGTGAAATTCTCCAGCATTATGTTAGGAAGCTTGTTGAATGAGTCAGACTGATCACAAACAAGAAAGAGTAGAGCTGTGGTTGCTTGGCAACTCAACATTATTCTGCAATTTCTTCTGGTATATTTATCTAGTATACTAGAAAATTCTGTTTTGTTAATGAATGTTTTTAGGGAGTGCATAAATAGACCATAACTAATTGAGATTTTTATGTATTCTAGATTCAAAATGATCCTACTTACCTTTTCATTGTGTTTAGATAATTAAAATATAAAAAAGTCTACTTTGTTTTCATATTTCACAATTTTCCCTAAACAGTGTCTGTTTATTTCCACACAAATTGTTCCCATCAAAAGAATACAAATTATTTATTTCTTTTGAAAGTCAAATCAGTAGACTATGTGTAGGTGTGTTCATAAAAAAAATTTCAATAAAAACCAAGCATAGAGCCTGAGGTAAAATGATTTGAGGTGAGATGAATTCTTCAAGTTATGATGTGAATTCATGGTTCATCAGTTGCACTGGCAATTGAGTAAGTTTAAGGTAGATGTAGTCACCTCAAGTGACATTGGCAGATAGTAATGACAATAATAAATATATTGAATTTGGAAAATGCATCAATACATTCTGTGCTTTGACTTTGTCTTACCATATTTTCCTGTCTGATGTTTGCTTGTATCTTATTTTCTCAGGAGTTACAGAAATAAGAAATCTACATAACCGCTGACTCTCCTCTTGTAACCCCTTCCCCCAAGTCTCAGAACAGCAATCACACCATTTTTCCTACAGCCCATGATTTTTAGTGCGCATCACAATTCCATTCTCAGATTGCCAATTCTTTGAGGGCATGTGTTCCATTTTATGCACCTCATAAACCCTTATAGGCCCTGGCATGGTAGAAAGCACATTGCTGACGAAATGCAGTGGCTTTGTAGTTAGGCTACTGGGGTTCAGAATTGAAGTGGCCCTCTTATAGGTGTTGAAGCGAAGGCATTTTAACTTCAGATTGATTTCATCTGTAAAAATGGCTTATACGCCTAGTTCATGCTTATTACTGTGAACATTACACGGACACTTTATCCAGAGCTCATAGTGCTTATTAA